CTCTTCTGACGAAAATTGCTACCCAATGAAAATTAGAAAATGCGAAGAGTACCCTGATTACTGTGGATCTTTGCTTGTATGCTCCTTATGATCGTTGACTTTTACCTTTTGTTATTTGTCTTTAAAGGAGCAAGGAATCTTGAAAGCAAGTACTGTAAATCAGAATCCGTACCAGATGCAGCTGAAGTCATCAGTAAGACCACCACTGATTCCGACAGAAGACGAGCAGGAGAAACTCGAAGAAAGCTTTTTCGGGTCATTAGGGAGACTGGTTGCACAAACTGGAGCATCTGCTGCTGAAATTCTTGGAGGAGTTTTTCCTGTGTTCAGAAGGAATCAGTATAATCATCAGTATCAAAACCAAGTACAACAGCACAAGTATTCAAATGCTTGGCCTGTTCAACAAGATAGCTTTGTTATACCAGATGAAGATGAGCCCCCTTCCATTGAGACCAGGACCCCGACTCCTCGAAAAACCTATGCCTTCATGTCCAAAGATTCTGAGAAAATGCAACGACTTAAACAAAGTCGTGCTTTTTACGATGGATGGGAAGGTGACGTCCAGAATCAGCAAACTCAGAAAAAACATCATCATCGATATCATTCGTCCATACCTCAAACTTACTATGAACAAACCTCGGCGAACACCAGCGAGATTGTGTTTGGAGCAGTTCAGGAGCAAGAAGGGCAGCGCGATGTTATAATAAAGCCCCTCGACAATGTGATCCCGTCATATGATGTCTCTAAAATTCGTGCTCGACTCAACTATACCCATGGACGTTGATTATTATACACCATTACTTCCTCAAGACTTCTTGATGGCTAAAAAGTCAGGTATATCATATATTCGTAGTGCTAAGTTTGCCGTAATAGCGAAAATCTATTTGTAGTCTTGGAGAAAAAATGTTTTTTAAGTGTCCAATGAAAATGGATTATCTTATTTTTGATGCTCTATTTCATTTACTTTTCCGTTAGTCAAACTAATAGATATGGACAGAATGACTGATGAGAATGAAATTTCGCTCGAAAAGCCGGTTGGATTCCTTCCTGGATGAAGACAAACATTTGTTTCTTTTTTAAAGTTGTGCAATGGAATTGATAGATCCAATGTTTGCTAATGCCGTCCATATAAAAACATCAATTTGGGCTACATCTAGAAGCTTTTAGGACCAGACATTTTATTTAGTAGTTAGTACCAACTTAACTCTTGCACAGGAATGTCTGTAAAAATTATTCTAGTTTATTTCAGAACATGGCAGTATTTTGTTAGAAGTACAAGAATCCAAGGCACATGTGCACGTGACTAGGAAAAGTTAAGTTTAAAATTTTGGAATTGATAAAAAATTAGTCTGCAAATCATGTGCGTTAGAGAATATTAATTAATTTGAGAAATGTTGGAATATTTATGGCCCCTATCTGAGTCCCATTATCCAAAAAATTATTTTTCTCCCAAATACATATTTTACCAATAAAAAAATAAACGATCAAATTTCAAGCCAACCTTGCATCTGCTCGTGGTTGATTTTGTTTTCTTTGTCATTCTAATAAGAACAAGAAGGACGATATATACTTGTATCTCGAGGGGGCTGTCCGAGGTTGAAACTCTATTGATGTTATTTTTATACGATCTATTCTCCCCATTTTTCTTATTTTTTTTTTGTGGGGTTGGGGGGGGGGGGGGGGGGGGGGCACCCTCATTCAAGGCTAGATCCACTCATCGGTTCGACTTTGCTCATAGAAGGCTTGAGTTTGTTTTGAAATGAATCATGAATCGAGTTGAGCTCACATTCCAACATAATGGACTTGTAGATCAGCTCATTTTTTCATATTTTTTGAACTTGTTCTATTAATTTCTCTAAAATATTGCTCTTTTTGGGGCTATTTTGTTAATTTATTTTTTAAAAAATAAAAAAGAAACAGTTCAACTCGTTTGGGCATGTGGACAACTTGATTTAGCTTGTGGGGCTCAACTAGGATTTAGACACAAGTTGAGCTAAGCTTGGGTGTCTACGGGTTGATTGGCCCATCTCAAACCCTACTCCCAATGTGTAAATGCTTATGAGTGAATTCGAAAGTGATTTTAAGTCGTGTGTAACGAAGGGATTCTCTTAAGAGAAGCTTTATAGAATTTATTGACATCGAGGTAGAATCATTACGCCCTTGTTTGATGATTTTTTGAACTGGTTTGTGGGTTCTTTAACACCCTATCTAGTTTAAGCGAGACAAATTTGAATAGGCTCAATTATTGATCGGTCTAGTTGTTCAAACACCAACAATGTACATGCTAGTTTGTAGATTGACGTAGAGGCAATACATGTTGAATCTCCGCCCATGTGCTATAATGAAGGGAATCTGCTTAGCAACTAGCTTCTTGGGCTTATTATTGGTGGGCCCCGGCCCATTCATGGCCTAATGTGTCTATCTTTAACTTCTTTGGGCTAGACGTGTAGTCCAAAGTGGGGATTACTTGTAATCAGACTTTTATACTTCTCAATTCAAAATTAAGGGTGCGTTTGTTTGATTGTCAATATTTTTTATGAAAAATGTGATTTTTCATTCAAATTTCTACTTTTTTGTTGTTTGATTACCATTTTTTCATGAAAAATATATTCTTACTTTTGGTCATAATTATATTTTCCATAAAATCAAGAAAAATATTTTTTTTAAGGGAAGTGTGATTTTATTTTCCAGAGAATTCACTCCATCTTTCTCTCTCTCGTCGACCAACAAACAAAAAACGGACAAGTAAAATATTTTCTAGGTTGAAAATTAAATCAATCGAACATATTTAATCGACGATTTTCATGCAAATAAATTCTGGACAATCGAATTATCTAGAATATATTTTCTTTCCATGCAAATTCCATGTTTGCAATCAAACGCATCCTAAGATTTACATTTTATTTTTCAAAAATCTGATAATTGAAATTTTAAATATTAATAAAAGTATTATAAAATTAAACTAATCCTAAAACCAATCAAAATTTCTCCTCTCATTGTATATCTCTCTACCCATCTCTCTCAACTCGTTCTCTATGCCGCCCTAATTTAATAGATGACGACGAAGATGACCCATACACAACTACTTCGGAAGCGAACTCCACACATGACATCATCGTCGGCGTGATCGTAGCACGATCGGAGAGCAATCTAAAAAGTAGCATTGAGCAATATTTTGTGGTTTTTGGTTATGAGCGGGGGCTGCGGCGGCGTTCTAGTTTTGGATCTAATTTGCTGGATTTCATCCTCTTCGAGTGACGTTTTGGTGTTGGCATTATGGTGATGGTGAGGTTGGTAGCGATTGTGGACAATTGAATTATCTATAATTTATTTTCTTTCCATACAAATTTCATGTTTGTAATCAAATGCACCATAATATTTACATTTTTTTTTTCCAAAAATCAGATAATTGAAATTTTAAATATTAATAAAAGTATTATAAAACAAAACTAATCATTAAACCAATCAAAATTTCTCCTCTCATTGTATATCTCTCTACGTCATCTCTCTCAACTCGTTCTCTATGCAAAATTTCATTGTATAATTCATTTCAAACTAAGAAACAGGTTTAAAATTTTAAAATTTGGATATTAATTAAATTTTATTTGAGAAATAATTAGTTAAACATATCAATGTCACAAATTATTTCTCAATGAAAAATAAATTTTTTATAGGTCATAAGTTATTTGATGGTCATAGATTAAAAATTTTGTAGTTCATAATTTATTCATCGGTATAATTAAAAAAATTTCAAGTCACAAATCATAAATTTTTTAAGTTAAGACTCAAATTCTTATATCACATAATATTTATTAACTACAAATTATCGATCACCTATTATTTTTTTGTCACTAAATAACTAATTTATGAGTCACAAATTAATCAATTTATTAATCATATTCAACTAAATAATTAGTCACGCGCATCCCACCCACATCTACTGCATCACCATCGTCGCATCCACCGCTACCAACAAAACTACCATTTACAACTTCAAAACCACCACTTCCACCAACTCACCACCACAACCACCAACAAACCACCATTTTTCAATTACAAAATCACATTGCCACCACCCAATCCATTGCCAGATCTAACATAGTTGTCGTCAACGAAAATTGTCACCATCACCAAATCCAATAAAATCACCACCATTGCCAAATTCAATAAAGTCATCGCCACCCAAACACCATTAGCACCCCTACAATCGCTACCAACCTCGCCATCACCATAATACCAACACTAGAACGTCACTCGAAGAGGATGAAGTCCAACAAATCAGATCTAGATCTAGAATGACACCGCAGCCCCCGCTCATAGCTGAAAACCACAAAATCCCTTGTAACTAAAATCATCCAAAACACCGTAAGGACATATTGCCCCTCTTTAAAATGGTCAAACTTCATTTTTTTTAATTTTTCAGGTTAATCGACGGTGTGTTGGACTGCTGCTGCAATTTTCCCAATTTATTAAAGAAAATAAAAATGAAAAAGAAAAAAATAAATAGATTTTCTTCTCCACTTATATTGAAGATCGAGTTTTCGGTTCTCACCAAATTTTACCTCCCTCCGATCTCAGTTTTGCCTTTTCACTCGGTTATCTCATCTGGGCTTGTGAAAATTTAGAGGAAGCTGTGCAAGAATCATTCTACGGCTGGATCTGGTAGAGATATCCCGTAGTTTCAAAACGGACCCAATCATGAACCCATTTTCCTCGGGCACCCGCCTGAGGTTAGTTGTAAATTTCTTTCCCTTTCTTTTGAATGTTTTGCATTTTCTTAGAATTTGCTTGGATCAGGTTTAAAAATTTCTGACTGAGTCGTGATTGCTTGTAATTGCTTTATTTCTGCTTGAATTTCCGTGTTTTAACTATGATTCAATTGGTTTTATTTTAATTATTGGTAATGAGTCACTTAGGTCTCATTTTACGAGGATATAATGGTATGATTGCTCGAGGAAAAAAAAAAAAAATCATTTCTTTGTGTCCGTGGAGCGAATAAACTGCAAGAACGGAGCTTGTTTATTAATACTTAAATGCCATGAATATTGACTCGTTGAGAAGTTATAAAGGTGAATAATACTGAGAGTGAATGGAAGAACTGATCAATAGTTAACGAGAATATAATTTGATAGTAATTTGGGATTTATATATTCTATTGTTCTTGAAGTTTGATATCGTTTGTTGTTAATTAAACCAACTCAAACTATTATTTGATGTTGACATTAAAGGAGGGAATTTCTATATATCAAGGAATTGATTATTAGATCATTGGATATACTACTGAAAGTACCGGTGTGATAAGTTAGGCATCCGTAGACATTAACCACTTGTGGTGCCTGTATTATGCTACATACTGATACTGCTGGAGTGTAACCCTAGAGAATTTGAACAAGTGATGTTAGGTATTAGCATCATTGAAAGAAAACTGAATGAAGCTTACAAAAAAAAATTATATATATATATATATCATAGAAAAAGGTTTCTAGTTATGGATGTTGGATGGTCCGACGCTAATTGAAATCTGTCTTGTCTCTTGGGAAAGTGACTTAAAACTCGTAGCATTGTGTTCATGATGTTGGGGGTGATTATTCGTTCGTAGAATAGGATGTTGAAGGGGAGATTTTGGACGATTTCTTAGAGATTTATGATGAAAGTGGGAGCCCAGGTTTTCTATATGTCTTCCTTTTATTATACTTCTAATTTTATATATTTACTCATCCATCTAGACAGAGAGGATAACACCTATAAAGGGAAGAATAAAGTCTGTAGATGGACAGAAAATAATTACACAGTTTGGGCATTTTTTTGGAACATCATATGGTCCTAACAAGGAAAAGTTAAAGGAGTAGAGTACAAGAATTGGAAAAAAAAGGGACAGAAGAGAGTGATCAGGAACATCATGAAGAAAAACTTGGGCTTAGACAAGTCTAGGCTCATAAGAGGTTTATTGTGGGCTCAAAATGATTTTGTGAAGGTAATGCTTAAATCTGTTGTATACGGGACATGAAACAAGATTTCATGTGGCTTTTTTCCCTGGTAAGTCAGACAGAGCTTTACTTGAGCTAATTAGAACAGTTATTTGAATGAGATGGCATGACATGATCAAGGCACCGTCTTCACTCGTTCGCTCAAATCTGTGTTTACATGTGCTTTTTTAAGTAGCTCTCCATGTCAAATGCAATTAAGATTGTTTAATGTATCAATTTCCTGCAACTGAGCATTATTTTGCTCTTTATTCTTTTTTCCTTGCTTTATTATGTGCATCCAAGCCTTGAATTGACTAAGCTATTAGAATCCATAAAAAATTACCTGATGACGAGGGAAAATTTGGCGTATGACATGTATGGATAAGTGTGATTTCTTCTTAGAAGTACATTGAACAATTCTCTTCAAAATTTAGGAATGAAAACTACAAGATGCAACTCATTAGGTGTAGTATGAATGTAAATGAGAAGTTTGGAATAAAATTATGACTTTCTTTAGAATGTATATTATTATGTAATGCCTGGATAACTAATAGTTGAATTATAATTACAATAACGATCATAATATTTGTCATCTGATTGTTTTGATATTCATGATGACTGGCGGTATTTGTTTAAATCTCTGTTTTATATTAGCTATATATTATTTATCTTTGTCACAAGATTTATTGTGACTTTTTCTTAAGTTTCCATATAGATGAACAACTTTCATCTTGACGTCCTCGATTATTAGATCAAGTAGAAACAATCAAATTTTTTGATCATAGTGAATTAAAAGCTGCCATATAGAATATTAAGTTAAGAAGCAGGGAATTGTGCTAGTTACAGTTTTTGCTTTCAGCTGTATCGTATAGTTTCGTAGAGTCTCGATCACACGGATGTACGCCTTGATACAGCGGGCATAGAATTTTTTTATTATACATATGAAATAAAAATAAATAAATATTTTAAGTTACTCCTTAAAGTGTATGGTAAACAAGAGTTTGCTTCAATAATTTATTTGTACATGTATAGAACAAGTATGTACTTACTGTGAATTAGACTTTCATTTCTGTCATCATCACCTATTTTGTCAATTCAAGAAAATATTTCACCGAAGAAAATAACGCGCAACTAAGAGAAAATTACATGGTAAAATATTCTTTGCAACCTAATTATCTATGCTTTCTTCCAGAGACATGATTCGGGCTATACGTGCTTGCAAAACTGCAGCAGAGGAACGTGCTGTTGTCAGAAAAGAATGTGCTGCTATTCGAGCTGCAATTAGTGAAAATGACCAAGATTATAGCCATCGGAATCTGGCTAAGCTCATGTTCATTCACATGCTTGGTTACCCCACACATTTTGGTCAAATGGAATGCCTGAAGCTAATTGCATCTCCTGGATTCCCAGAGAAGAGAATAGGATATCTTGGCCTTATGTTGCTTCTTGACGAAAGACAGGAAGTTCTGATGCTGGTTACCAACTCAATAAAACAGTGTCCATTCTAAAATTAATTTTTTTTATATTAGGTTCTCTTTGATGCGACTTTTGCATGTTCACCTACACCCAGAATTAAAGAAGGAGATTAAATTGACATATAAAAGGAAAAGACTACCAATCCTATGGTTGTATATGTAATGAATTTACTACTAATAATTCGTTTCTTAGCTGGATATAAAATTGAAGTTTGTATTTCCATTCAGACTCCTTAACTTATGCACAGAGATCTTAACCACACCAACCAGTATATTGCTGGACTTGCTCTTTGTGCCTTGGGAAATATCTGTTCTGCAGAAATGGCTCGTGATCTTGCCCCTGAAGTTGAAAGATTACTTCAATTTAGGGATCCAAATATCAGGAAGAAAGTAAGTCTTCTTCTTGAATGCTGTTCAAGAATCTCTCTTATAACAATGTCTAAGTACAACTTTATGCTCCATATATGGATTTAACTACAATAGAATGGCATCCTCTGACTTTGGGCATAAATTATTCTTTTTATTAATTTTGTTTGTGCATGCATGTCTTTTTTATGGACTGCAGGGATCCTCGTTAATAAGCTGGTTTAGATGTTCACTTATTGGTTTGTTCCATACTGCATGCTTGAATTTGTCACAAATCTCTGTCCATCAAGCTCTTCCAACCCCAAAAACAAGTTACATTAGTTTCAAGTAATTCATTATAAGATTTTATACGTGAGACACTCTTGAAGTGAAACAATCTTGAGTGTCCATCTGACCTATGTCCTTCATTTGTAAGTGGGGTGAGCAACGTATATTGGCTTATTGGCTAGAATGTCCTCCTCAGTCCGACATAACAAAAGTTACATCAGAATTAACAATAACAATGGATGCTTGGTTTTAACAATTTGTTTATTTATTTATTTTTTTAATGTGTTTTCACTTTCCCTGGATCTGGTACTTTCAAGTTAATCTCTACTAAGCACACAGGTTCATTCCATCGTGCCATCTTCTGCATACACTTTTTGGAGGATCTGCAAATTGACGTTCTTTATGAGTGATACATTTCCGAGCTATTTGAAGTGTGAAAAAGATGCACCCTGAATCCCTTTTTATATACTTAGCATGGGACCATCTTTTCTTCTTTATAATTTTTTCTTTGATGTGCTAATTTTAAGCTTATTCGTCAATTCGAAAAAGTAATAATAGAATTTTTCCTTTGGACTACTGATAATTCTCACGGTGTTCATTACCTTTGCTTTTTTCTGAGATTTCTTTTGGGTGTAGAACTTATTCAGGTCCTTGAAATAAACAAAGGCTCAGTTCTATAATCAATTACTTCAACTTTTCCAGAAAATTGTTCACCAGAGACCCAAAACTTTTCACTGCCTGTATTAATGGTGATTTCTGTCTACTGTAGGCTGCATTATGCTCTATAAGGATAATAAAGAAGGTACCCGACCTGGCAGAAAACTTTGTAAATCCTGCTGCTGCGTTGCTCAAAGAAAAACACCATGGAGTGTTATTAACTGGAGTCCAGCTTTGTACAGATCTATGTAAAGTCAGTAAAGAAGCTCTTGAGCATTTAAGAAAGGTAAGTAAACAATTGCTCACTCTATACGTTCCCTACAGTTATTTATAAGAAGTTAAAATTTGATGGAATGATGCCTGCTGTTTGTAAGATGAGATTTCTCTAAAGTGTGCTAAGATACAACCTTCTTTTTACCATCACTCGGGTATACTTCTATTTTGGCAATTTGCTTTTGCTGTTTACTTAATGTTCTTATCAACATGGATTCTACACTGTGATATAATTGTAAGGTTCACAAGCTAACTTGTCTGATCATCTCTCTTACTTCCAGTACCTTATACCGGCCTTTGAACTGGGCTGGAAAATTCTGTGCTGTTGACCTGTCTAGCTTGGTCATATACTGCTGTTTATCTGTCATAAATTGTAATAGTATCATTACAGCATTTTTGACAGGGGTCTATTACCTTAAAATTATGGTATTTCCTCTTTGGAGCATCATTTTTTATTGGACTTTTGACCTTGAAAGTAGCAAGTTAGCTTCCAAAATTGATTGATGAATGATTTTATTGGGCTTAGCCACTTGTGTATATTCTTGGCCTAAGTATATTTAAACTATTTTTCCTTCATGGCATGATTTCACCTTTTTTCTTTTCTCTTTGGGTTCTAGAAATGCACAGATGGCTTAGTCAGAGTTCTAAAGGATGTGGTGAACAGTTCATATTCACCGGAGTATGATGTTTCTGGGATTGCAGACCCTTTTCTTCATATTAGATTGCTCAAGCTTTCGTGCGTGTTGGGCCAAGGAGATGCTGATTCTAGTGATACTATGAATGATATTCTTGCTCAGGTAAGTTAATGTGTCTCATGCTCAATTGTTTAATTGCTCTCCTTGTTATATTCAGATAAAAAATTTAAACTATAAATGGTCCTTGCGTTTTGCAATTTCTCACATCAGTATGTCCATTTCTGATTGCTTTTCGGTATGTGCTTCCACTGCAAATAGTTTCTCTACATGTTCCACAAGTAGTGTAGATGATTTTTAGAAGACATAATTCATTCATCATTTGAATAAGGCATTTCTCCAATTTGTTGGAACTCCTAATCTCATGAAGTTGATTTACTTTTGCATCTTTTCTTGGACATGATATTAACTTGCTTTGCAACCTTTAGCTTTGAAAGAAGAACACAGCACTCTAGTTTCTCTCATGTTTCACAAGTAGTCTAGTTCGTTGAATCAAAATAATTTTGTTTATAGTTTTCTTTGACATGATACTAATTTTCTTTGCAACCTTTAGCTTTGAAAGAAGAATACAGCAATCTAGCTTCTCTACATGTTCCACAAGTAGTGTAGATGATTTTGTGAAGACATAATTCATTCATCATTTGAATAAGGCATTTCTCCATTTTGTTGGAACTCCCAATCTTGTGAAGTTGATTTACTTTTGCATCTTTTCTTTGACATGATATTAACTTGCTTTGCAACCTTTAGCTTTGGAAGAAGAATATAGCACTCTTCCACCATCCTGCTAAGATTTTTGACTTGTTCTCTTTCTGTTGCCAATGCTATTAATAGAATTACAAAACTTGCTCTCTTTCCCCTTGTTCTATTGTTGATGTGTTATTTTCTTCTGTAGGTGGCTACCAAAACTGAGTCAAAAAAGAATGCAGGAAATGCCATCCTCTATGAATGTGTTGCTACAATTATGAGCATTGAAGATAATGGTGGATTACGGGTGCTTGCAGTCAATATCTTGGGGAAATTTTTGTCCAGCCGTGATAACAATATCAGGTTATCTTCGTAAATTTGGTTTGCACTTTTTTTCAATTTGCCGAGGACATGACTCATATGTCGTATCTATATCATTTTTTGTCTTCGAACATTTATATTTTTGTTATTTTAAGTGCAAGACAGTGTATCCCTGCTTGCTGGACTAATCTGAATAATAGATCGAACACATAAGGATCCTGCCATGAGTACTTGCCTCTGGTTTATTCTATAGAAGAACAAGGGGAACTAGAGTTATTGTGAGTTGCTGCAAAATGTAAAATTGATAATACAACTAGTATCATCATTCTATACTCCCTCCGTCCAAATTGAATAGTCTCCATGAGTGATGTATGTTTGGAACCATAATTTTACATCAGTCTAAGTACCTTCTTTAAAAAATAAGTTTGTTCCTAATTAGCAGCAGTGAAATTTTATACTTATATAGTTTCTTTTATTTAGAACTGATTATGCCATAAAAAGAACTTACACTGCAAAGTTGCCCATCAATTATGAAAATTTGAATGAAGACATTTAAGTTAAGTAATCTTATAGAAGTTCATATACGATTATATTGCAAATTTTATGTCTGCTATATCTCACACCCCATATTTTGCAGATCTTATGTCTGTTATGCCCTCCATGCCATTTTTGTGATCTTATTACTTTTACCTATATATTGCTACTTCATTGTGTGATGTTAAAACTTTGTGAGTGCTGCTAAATCTGTTGGTGCAAGACATTGTTTGTCTGGGCATTATCTGGTCCCAGTGATGTCTCGTGCTGTTAACGAGGCTTCGACATGCTTGAATGCTTGATTTGCAATGGTGTGTTTGCCGGTGTAAAGCTCTATTGATAATAATGTATTATACTATTTATTTGCAACCATAGTAAAAACCAATTGATGTAAAACGTTCCTGGGAAAATCAATAATTTAGTTGTCTGAGATTCTTCCACATCAAATGGTTTGTGCTTGCATATTTAATAATAAGTATTGCTTCTTAATTTACTTAGTGTGCTAGAGGAGTTTGTTGAAGTTTGTAAGGTACTACCTTCATGCCCAACAATTACTTTTACCTCATAAACTAACTGCATCTGCATGTTGTTCACTCTATTATTTTGCTTTTCTGGAATTTCAGGAACCTGAACTTGTTGACTTGTTTTCTACGAATTGCCTTGTTCTGATCATAATTAACGATTCGAGTGACTTCTTGTTTTCTACTGGAACTTTTTCCATCTCAATAAGTTCAAATCATATCCGGATAAATAGTTTATTGCTTCTCTCGTTCATGCTTTGTGTCTGATAGTGTTTAAACTCAATTGTGACAGATATGTTGCTTTGAACATGCTGATGAAAGCTATTGCCTTAGATAGTCAAGCTGTGCAGAGGCATCGAACAACACTCTTGGAATGTGTAAAGGTATCTGTATTTCTATATCTGTTTTATCCCCAAAACGTTTTCAAAATTTGAAATTAAGTTGATCAGTTTCATCTATTTATGTGGAAAACCATGCATCTCTGAGTTGTTACACACATAGTTACCTCTGGTCTTGACTTTTGTGCTTCTAGATGTTAGCTGATAAATTATGTGTAGTTGTTTAGTTCTCAGAATTGTATATTAGCTTATGAAAGAATATTAATCTTTCTCAAGTCAAGAAAACACTGCCCTCCACAACCCCAAGAAAAACCATATTGCCCATCATGAAAACAGTTTGCTATTTTATATGGATTTTTTCTAAATTTGACGGTAATTAGGACCTTTCCCAACCTAAGGACCAATAAATATGGACAGATGAAATGCTTTTCAAGCTCTCCTGATGTAAATGGGTTTTGCTTGAATTGCATGACCTATGCGTATTTGCTCGTGTTCCTCTCTGTTTTTCCATTAATTCTCTATCATTTTATGATATCTGTACTAACATCTTAGAAATTCTTGGTTGCTTATTTTAATGCCAGGATTCAGATGCTTCGATACGTAAAAGGGCCCTTGATCTTGTATATCTTCTGGTAAATGAAAGCAATGTGAAATCTCTGACAAAAGAGCTGATTGACTACCTTGAAGTATGTGACTCAGAGTTTAAAGGAGACCTTACTGCAAAAATTTGCTCTGTTGTGGAGAAGTAAGTTCAGCGGTTACATATATATCGAGATTTTCTAATCTAGTTTCTTGGTCCAAAAAATTTTACTTATGATAATCCTTCACGGGTACTTTGTTCATGTGATTGCTCCTGTGTATCACTTCTCTTAACTCTGGAAGAGTGTACATTAGTTAGTTTGCTTTTAACTGGATATGAGTTTTGTTTCACAATTCCAAGCAGTGGGAATTTTTTCCTGGTCTATCGTGTTCTCCAAGTCTGATGAAAACTCTTTGTACTGAAATAACAATTTGCTTATTTCTTGGTCCAAAAAATTTTACTTATGATAATCCTTCACGGGTACTTTGTTCATGTGATTGCTCCTGCGTATCACTTCTCGTAACTCTGGAAGAGTGTACATTAGTTAGTTTGCTTTTAACTGGATATGAGTTTTGTTTCACGATTCCAAGCAGTGGGAAATTTTTCGTGGTCTATCGTGTTCTCCAAGTCTGATGGAAACTCTTTGTACTGAAATAACAATTTGCTTATGGAGCATTTTCTTGGCTTTTCTTTTTAGTTTCTCTACTAAGTAAAGTCCCTCCTCTCGTGTCCTCATGAGTGTACAAATCTTTGGAAATCTTATTCTAGTCTTATTTCTTCCTTCCATCTTTGTACATTAGCTTCATCATGTAGTTAGGTACGCATTTTTTCCATAATTGTTCTACCTAATTATTTTCCCTACTTGTTTTATTTTGTGTGCTTCCTAGTAGACATTTGGATGCGTTAAATTGCAATATGATTAGTTAAGACTGACTAACTTGAATTGTTATATATGTTGCATTGGATACACAACTCTCATCTGCTTTGTGGTGCTTCAGGTTTTCCCCTGAGAAAATTTGGTACATTGATCAGATGCTGAAGATTCTGTCTGCGGTATGCGTTATAGTTGCAGAGCTTTTACTGTATTGTTTCTTGGCTTTAAATTTTAGGTTTATCTTGATGGTTTATATAATAGCTCTCATTAATTTTGGGCCCAAAGATATCTACAATTTTCTTTACTTCTTGATGCGAGAACATAGCCAAACACGGGGTCTCCTTTATCATGTAAAAGGCACGACTATTTTAGTGCAGCCCGTGTCTACTTATTCACTCATGTAAAAACCAGAAGCAGGCCTCATTCCCATAAATTTGGGGTATATGAATCCTTTTTCACTGCTTCATTCAATCTAGCCCTACACGTCCAATGAAATCAAATCTTTTAAAAGCACATCAAGCTACATTAGCTCTCCATCTTGTTCTAACCGGAGCTTATTAGGTCTACTTCAGCCATGCATCAATCATCCAGGTCTTTGTTCCTTTAATAAATCCATTGGTGCCAGCTCTACTTGTTGGTGTATATCATTATTTTTTTATTTTATCCATTCTCATGTGGTCACAAATTCAATTTAACATCTTGATTTTTGTGATTTTCATCTTGTGGAAAATTTGTTCTTCAATGGCACAATACTCTGTAGGTAATGTGTAGCTGGTCTCTTAACCATTGTGTGTCTACTGATTCATGCCATACTAACTTTACAAGAGTAAAAAAGTCATTCGATTTTATTATTCCTCTGTTCCTTGTGCTTTTAACTGTTAGAAAAGGAAAAATGCCTTCACTTTCAAATGATTAAAAAAGAAAAGACCAGGAAAATTAATGAAAAAGAGAAATGAAGGGAAAACAGAAAAAACAAAAGAAGAAAGGGAAATCAAGGAAAATTGAAAAAGAAGACACTTCCCCTCACACCCCTCTGTCCCCACTAGTTTCCCCTTTCCTCTTCCCCACTGTGAACATCTCCTCCTCCTCTCTACAGTCCACTCTCCCCTCCCTGTTGTTCAACCCCTTCACTGGTCAACCACTCACCCTACTTTCCATTCCATTTGAGATTATATTCATTTGATCAAGTTATAGGTTCACTAAACGAGTCTTTGAATTTGAATTTTAGGCACTCTTCTACCTTTTTGGAGTATTTTCATTGAGTTTCTTACCTGTTGAAAAAAGATTAATGAAAGAATCTTTTTTAGTGGGGGAACGATGATGATTAATGAAAGAATCTTTTTTAGTGGGGGAACGATGATGGTTGAACAGTAGGATTATTGTGGGGACTGAGGATGGAAGAGGAGTAAGGAGTCTTTTTCACCTTTCTTTAATTTCCCTTTTTATGTTTAAATTTTTTTTGCTTATCTGTATCGAGGCAAAATTGTGTTTTACTCAATTTAATGCTCATTTTGATGGGAACCGTTCGAAGGAGATCCCTTTCTAGGAAAATTGAAGGTTGGGAACTCAAATGCAATGATCCCAAATGGGGACTGGTTGCTATTTTCCGTTATCTTTTATCTTAATGCTAGACAATGCAGTTAGTCTTCTTTATGCGAGTGTTGATTTTTGTGAACACGTTGCAGGCTGGAAATCACGTGAAGGAAGAAGTGTGGCATGCCCTTATTGTTGTGATCACAAATGCTTCTAACCTCCATGGATATACTGTTAGGTCGCTGTATAGAGCTGTACAAACTGCAGGTGAACAGGTAACTTATAGCCGCACCTCTTACCTTGCAATTAAAGCCTGGAGTAGGATGAATGCTGTATATGATTTGGTTTATTTTTGTGCTTATGTATATCCGCTGTCAACTTGTTTTCGCAAGGAAACTCTTGTTCGAGTTGCTGTTTGGTGCATTGGAGAATATGGTGAAATGTTGGTTAATAATGCAGGAATGCTTGCTGGGGAAAATCCAATAACTGTGAGTTCGTGCTTCTTTAAGTTTATCTCAAATAATTTTCATGATCAAACTTTCACTGAAAATATGGATGACTCAGGCACATCTGTATAACCATGAAATTGCCCATTTATTTCCATGAATTGAAAAGAGAGATGAAGAAAATGGTATCTGATGAATAATTGTGAGATGCTGAAGAGCCATATTTTCTTTATCTCCATAGTTTATCACAAATGGTTGCTATATGAGATCACAAATGTACACTTACTTGGGACTAACAATTGAGTATCATTGACAAGTGCCATCACTTCCACCGGCACCTCATCCAGTGTCCTTTTTTGTGCTTCAGTATCTCTTATTTTCTTGGGCATCTTTGATGAATTTGTTGTTTGGAGCAGGTAACAGAGTCTGAAGCTGTGGATGTTGTTGAAACTGCTATTAGATGCCATTCGGATCTCCCGACTCGATCAATGTGTCTGATTGCACTGTTAAAGCTGTCAAGTCATTTTTCATCCTGTTCACAGTATGTTGTCATTGCTTTTCTTGGAAAATACTGATAAACTGTACATATGTCCACTTGGTTGCCAACTAGTAGAATGATTGTAGTGGTCACAGACCTTGTCATATTTATATATTTACATTTTTTTCTCTTTTATGATTTGTTTTGCTGACCTTGTCATGTTACAGATCTTATATTCTAGTATTCATTTTTGTCAGAAGTCTAGATCTTTTTGGTTCTACCTTCTTTTAGTAAAATATAATGTATTTATTACTGTATTGACCTGAATGCACGCTTGCTTATTTTTGATAATGGTAGCTTGGTAAGTTCTTTAATTTCCTTAACTGAGTCTGAAATTATTCAAATATCACGTATTACAGGAGAATAAATAATATTATCCTTCATTATAAAAGAAGCCTTGTGCTTGAACTGCAACAACGAGCCATTGAGTTTAATTCTATCATTGAGAAGCATCATAACATCAGGTATGGAAGCTATTTCTTCTCCCCCACTCGTCTGTTGGCAGAAAATTTGTTAGGAATTGTTTCAAGTATGATTCTAATAAGCTTCTGGGTACATTTGTTCAGGTCTGCACTGGTTGAAAGGATGCCAGCCCTTGATGAGGCAACCTACAGCAGCAGAAGGGCCGGTTCTGTGCCAGCTGCGGTTTCAACTTCAGAAGGAGCTCCATTAAACCCTCCAAATGGAGTTTCTAAACACACTTCATCCGCTCTTGTTGATTTACTTGATCTTACTTCGGATGACATTACAGCGCCTAGCTCTTCTGGTGGAGATTTTCTTCAGGATCTTCTTGGTGTTGACCAGTCACCAGCTTTATCACATCCAGGTTGATTTTGCTTATGCATGGATGAGAAATGACAATTAGCTTCTGCAGTTATATATTTCAGTTGTACTATTTGAAAATCTCTTTAAAAATCATGTCTCAAATGATACTGATCTCTAACCCTCCCTCCTTTATAGAAGCTTCTTAAGCAATTCCTGCATAAGTAAGAATTGAGATTCGAACGTACATGACTGGTTTCCATGTCATTGTCACTTGGCACGTAATGAGATTAGTCGTCCGTGTCGCAGGGATACAACAAAAGTATTGGTTCGTTTTGATGATATAAGTAGATAGATCACCGTTCTCCATTAGATCATATAGTGTGTTTTGAAAGTTGTATCTACACTGAATTTCTATTTTGGGAAAGAGGAGATATCTTAATATAGATTATTCCCCCCTACGAACATACTTTCTTAATCATTCTCTTTTCCCTTTTAACATTTCAGGAACCAATCAGACCCAAAAGAGCAGTAATGATGTCTTACTGGATCTTTTGTCAATTGGAACCCCTCCAGCTCAAAGTGGCTCATCCACGAACAATATGTTATCACCCAATCAGGATAATAAAAATTCGCTGGACATGTTAGACACATTGACCTCAGCACAAGCCTCTTCTCTTGTTGGAAGTTCTATGATAGATTTGTTGGATGGGTTTGGAGCCAGTTCATCAGTGCCTGGTATGTTTCATCGAAGTACATATCTAGTTGGCGTCATTAACTCGTTCCTAATATTTCGATACCCTTGCTTTCAGTTGCTGAAAAGAATGGCCTGACCCTTCCATCAATCGTTGCATTCGAGAGCAGCTCCTTGAGAGTTACATTCAAATTCTTAAAGCAGCCTGAAAACCCAGAGACTGCACTTATTGAGGCACAATTTTTTAACAAATCGCCTAATATCTACTCAGATTTTACATTTCAGGCAGCCGTCCCCAAGGTATAATGCAATCACCTTTTACCATTTCTTGTGATAGGTTCCGCATCTTCATTTCTGCTCACTACATCTTTAATATCTTATTTTGAATGCATGCCCCCTTTCCCTTTTTTATCATCTTATATA